CCGCTAACCAAACTGCCCTCCCTAATTTTCAGGGTAGAGAGAAAGTGGCATCACGGTAGAGACCAAACGCATCAGCAACACCAGTGAAACGCCCGCAAAAAAAGGCATGCAGGGCGACCTTGTAACCCACACAAAAACGCGCGCACATTGTTGAGGTTTCAACCTGGTGCCATCGTCATCACACCTCCGCAAGGGCGACTGCAACTTCATCATCGACGACCACCGATGTGCTCTCACCGCAAACAAGTGACGAGGCTTGTGCCGGCCGATACCAAATAGTCAACCACACACGCCGGCAACCAGACAGCTCCGACTTTGTCGACAAGCATCACATGAGAAAAGCGTTGGGACTACTTCGAGCCAGCACCGAAACCGACCACCCATCTCGTGTCATCGTCGCTACAAGGGCCCTCCTCAGCAGCTCCGACTCAAAAAGGACAAAGTGAAGCCCTACGACCCCTCAAACACGCGGGATGAGACCGACTACCAAAACTCAGATGCAACCCTGCTCCATCTGAAGCCGCCATCGTTACCACACAAGAGGCCGCAGAAGACATCCACATTGTCAGGCGCGCATCTGCCGACCACAGTGTTGCGAGCGTCCAGCCCATGGAGCACACCAATGGGATCTAATACTCTTCAAGGCAACACCCAAAGAGAAAAGCGATGATGACGATGTTGTCGCCCGACCCAGCCAGGCCTTAGATTTTCAACCGAAGAGCACGATCCGCCTTAGATTTTCACCCGAAGAGCACGATCCAAAGGTTGCGAAGGATACGGGTCTCCACAGCAGCGCCTCCCAAGAGGTGAGACAACGTCCACGGATGCCGCCGTTACCGTCCGGCAAGACCAGACAAGCTTTTGCCCGGAGCTTACCCACCACCGCCACCCCACGCACTGCACCACCGCTGGCCCACCCACCTCTCGCAGAGCCACCGCGCCGGCAGCATCGAAGACCCACCAGCATCACACCTCCCCGTCAGACGACAGGCCAGATCCAGCCGGCCTACCAGATCCAGCGTCCTCCCGCAGTTGCACTGCCACAGGACCCAGCTACCGGCCGCCGACAGCAGCGAGCAAGGCGCACCCCAACGAGCTGGAGGAGCCCAGGCTGCCATCCGGCCGCGCCAAACCGAACAAATCCCGTGGCACCTGACGCATACCAATCTTCCGTCGTCGCAGATTCAGATCATTCGTACTGAGTTGGTGTCATATGGCACAGGTGCACAACCAGTATCATAACTTTGGCTGCTGTCATCCCCAGCTAATAGAATCATAGATCCACAACCAACTGGTGTATCATTATTTATTGCAACAGACGGAAGGAGAGAACAAAGACTTGCTACCAGAGAGCACAAAAATCAACGGAGCAAACTAGGATCATTCACCTACTGGGAAAAGACAGGTCCTTTTCGGGGAGCATTCCTTCTGGAGACAATGTGTGTCAAAGGGGGGAACCAAGAAACCGCTGCAAGCAAATCTTACTTTGCTTGAGGATGCGAGGCAATGAAGTCGACTGCCGACTTGATGGAATCGATCTTCTCTGCCTCATTGTCGGGGATCTCGAAGCTGAATTCTTCCTCAAAGGCCATGACGATCTCGACAGTGTCCAGGCTGTCCAGCCCGAGGTCCTTCTGGAAATGCGCATTAGGGGTCACCTGCATGATTTAGCAGGGTATTAGAGCGGATTAAGGGCAGTTTAAAGCATCTGCATAGTACTCCTATCAATCAACTAATCTTCAGATAACAGACATTACAAAAGGTGAGAAACAACACTACACATGTGATTCAAGTTAAGTGTAGAGAGAACCAATGCAAATATAGATGGACAACAGAAGTGCCACAGCAACTATAAAACAATTAAACATAAAATGTCTTGCAGATACTGAACAGAAAGTGCTGGCGTGCAGGCAATCGACCGCACAAATTGCTGTCTTAAATTCTTGACAGTAAGAATGAAAATTCAGCACTTATTTCTTTCACAGCTCTACAAAAGACACTTGTAGGCATAGCACAGAGTATCCAGTACTGACCAGTGGCCAACTTTGGCACAGTTTTGACCTACCTGTCGGGTCTAGTCACCATTAGACCCAAAGCGATGGCTTGCAATGACCCTATACAGCGCACTCATGATTAGTTCAACTATGCTAAGCTTGATTAAAACTGCTCAACTTGTATATAAGTTTTAGTTAGCATGCTTAACCTCAGCCTGGCAAACTCAAAGGAGTGAAAAAAATAAACAGAAAGGTAGCAACACGCCAACACGCCATGCAATTTTTTGTAACAGAGTATGAACTTAGCAGTAGCATTTGATTAATGTCATCCATCTGAGCCCATCAGCATTGCAATTATTTTCCCCATACCGAGCTTTGTCCAATTCACACCACAAATTGATGCTAAAACACTTAACAAAATCAGCAAACTTAATTACCACAATAAATAGTAAAATATCCACAAAGCACATAACAGATAGCTGAAATAATATCTATGCAATAAGACAAGGACAACAATATCAAGCAATGTTACAAATATAACTACCCAGCACACATACATTAAATTAATTTCAGATCAGACATACAAAAAAACGGTTCTACGAAGAAAAACTGGTTCAAAATAACAAAGTTTGTCAATAATATATTGACCTAATTTCAAATAGGAAAGTAAAGGTCTATTACTTAACACGTGGTAGAATAAATGAACATTTGCCCAATTGAAAGTCATGCATACAAAACAAGATCACACAATATTACCAATATAATTACCCAGCACACACACATTAAACTAATTTCAGATAGACATATATACAAAACTAAAGGTCTATTACTTAACACATGGTAGAGTAAATGAAAATTTGTCCACTGACAGTCATATACACAAAACAAAATCAAACAATATTACCAATATAACTACCCGGCACGCATACATTAAACTAATTTCAGATAGACATATATACAAAACAAATTAGGTTCTAGGAAGAAAAACTGGTTCAAAATAACAAAGTTCGTTGATAACACATTGACCTAATTTCAAATAGGAAACTAAAGGTCTATTACTGAACACACAGTAGAGAAAAAGAACATTTGGCCACTTGACGGTCATGGGATGTATATTAACAAGATGTCCGCTACTTCAAAAATTAGGTAACAGAAACGGGGAAATAAAATTTAAACATGGAACTAGAAGAGACAACCGAAGAAAACAGAGTTAACATTGTACTAATAGTGAACTTTTGCACTAAGGCATAGAATCACCGAGTTAATCTGCACATATTGATGCAGAACTATACCATTATAGTTTATAGAGGTGCTCAATGTCTACTGCGGACCAAATCAGTCAATAACCAGACATGTACCCAAATTCGGTTCTAGGAAGAAAAACTGGTTCAAAATAAAGAAGATCATCGATAATATATTGACCTAATTTCAAATAGGATACTGAAGGTATACTCCTGACAGTCATGGGAAACTGTCCACTAGTTCCAAAATTAGATAACAGAAACGGGGAAATAAAATTTAAATGCGGAACTAGAAGAAACAACTTTAGAAAACAGAGTCAACATTGTACTAATAGTGAATTTTTGCACTAAAGGCATATAATCGCCTAGTTAATCCGCACACATCAATGCGGAATTAGACCATCGTAGAGGTGCTCAATGTCCACTGAGGACCAAATCAGTCAATAATCAGATATGTACCCAAATCATTTTTCCTAAACTATCTTATCTAATCGTCAAGAAAATAGAAAAGACACCATAGTCTCCCTTTCCCTTCCAGCCTACCCAAAATGCACGATTTGCGAAGCCTACAACTTTTAAATCACCTATAACTTCGTAATCGTCTCTAATTTACGCCCAGATCTTCTTGGACGATCCAGTCCACTCGATAACACGAGGCAACAGACCAGCGATGGGAGCCAAAACCCTATATGCATGCCTACACGGTACGAGATCCGAATCCTTCCACCAAAAGTACAGGGACGCGCAAGCGCAGGAGGGACGCGCTTACCTTGGAGGGCTCGATCTTCTGGAAGTTCTTGATGACGGAGACGACGCGGTCGGCGACCTCGCCCTTGTCGAGGAACGAGCCCTTCTCCACCTCCGAGGTGGAAGACAGGAGCCTGGCGACGGGGACGCTTCCCGCTGCGACCGCGGGGCGCGCCACCGGCACGCGGAGGTGGTTCAGGAGGGCTCTCCTCGCCGCCGCCATCGCCATTCCCCTCTGGTCTCGGTTGGTGCAGTCGTGCGGCGAGTGGGGAGGAGAAGGGCAACGTGGGCGACCTGAGGCTGCGGTGGTCCGGGCTGATGATGCTGGCTAATCGTCGTGATAGATCGATCCTACAAATCGGGGCCCATTCCGAAGCCTTACAAAGTCGCTCGTGGGCCGGATGTTTAGGACAGATCTAGCTCATAGCTGACGTAACCTACGGATCCTCGGCCTGGAAAAAAAAAACTACTGCTTATTAGCAAAGTGCCCGTGTTCAAAAAAAAAAAAAAAAATTAGCAAAGTGCCCATTAGTAGGGAATGGCACCCGCAGGGTATGGGTACGGGTGGAGCTACCACGTACCCTTACCCGTTCATCCTGAACTTACCCATCACCCATCTAGGGATGGCAACGGGTACCCATTAACCGCGTACCCTGCGGGTAAAAACCCTATTAAGATAAGGGTATGAGATAAAAATTTACCCATGGATACTTAAATAGGAAAATATTACACCATCGGGTAGAGAGGGTACGGGTATGGAATCGTATAACCCATGCCCGCGTACCCATATACCCATCTAAAATGCTGACAAGTGGGTTTCCGTTAATATCCTAATGTATTAATTTTCCCTCCTAATCACGCCAGGTAAAAACTCTAATATGTAGTCAAATTATCTCTATGATTTATCATGATTTTATGAACTTAAAGTGTATGCATATGTGTTGTTATTTATGATTATGTGTTGTTGTTTAATATTTTTATGTGTCACTTTATAGGAAAGTATTTTTGTTTATGAGAATGTGTTTTTGTTTCAATATGTTGTTGTACATTGTTATTTAAAATGTGTTGCTATGAATAATTTTTGATTATATGTTGCTTTTTATAACTATTTTCTACTCAATTGATGTGTTGTAAACGCGGGTATTTTTACCCGCGGGTACCCATATACCCTGTCGGGTGACGGGTATGGAAAAAAATTGTATCCTTGACAGGTATGGATTAGACTAGGGAAAACATTTAGTGGTTGTTTGGATACAGGGAATTAGATGTGAGATTTTAGAAAACAAGTTTTTGGAGGATTTTTAAGAAAACCAGTTTTGGTTAGTTATTCTGTTAAGGTCAGTACATACAATACCTTGTTTGGACGCGAAAGTAGAAAAACGGGATTTTGAGTTCTTCGCTTTGGGAGAAAACAATTCATGGAGGTGGAGTGCTTCGGTTCGCTCTTGGCACCTACATGCATAGTGGCAGACAACCACACCGTAAACGGCTCTCCGGTGGAGGTTCGTGGTTTTCAGCGTGGCCGCCGGGGTGATCACGCTTATCGCCTGATTGTGATCTGCTTCGCTAGCCGGTGTCATGCATGTTGGTCCAGGTTCCCATCTAACGTTGCTCCGGTGATGAATTCTTTCCGCCGTGAAGATGCACGTACATGTAGCTCGCATATGGCAAGACACAAGTAAACGGAGTAAATCGCCTTGATTGATTCTCAGGCCAGACATGCATGTGACACCTAGCTGCTGGATTGATTCGCCGGTAACAACAGAGCACAACGCACATGTTAGGGAGGCGGGACGATGACCTACAAGCTGGAGTATCTGCATATCGACGACGGAGGTGGTTGTGAAGTCCACGTCCACCATGGAGGCGGCAGCCGGCCGAAGTCCATGTCCGCCATGGAGGCGCTGGGCTAGGTGGAGCATCGCAACTTGCTTCTGGGTGCCTGGCCGAGATCGGCAAGCTGTTGTCACGGCCTGCGTAGTTTACCACGATCTGCGCCTGGGACTTCGTTGATCTCTTGGTGCGTATAGAAAATCCGTTTATATAAAAACGTCTATTGGTCGTTTTTGTATAAACACGGTTTTTTGGGCTTTTGGAAAACTCGGTTTAGTATACCCGCTAGTTAGTTAGATAATCCAAACAATGTTTTGGGTTGTTACACCAGAAATCAAGTTTAAGGGAAACTAGTTCTCTATAATCTAGCTATCTAAACAACCCCTTGGAGCATCTTCAATAGTCGTGCACCGCGCGCTAAAAAACATCGCGAGTTTTTGCACGGCATGGAGCGCTTGCTCCAGCGACCGCTGCAAAGTTCAACGCGTGCGAGCCGCTTCAGCAGGCGCTGTAAAAAAACTGTACACGCGCTCTCGCACAAACAACATATGCACTCCAAACACAACCAAGAAGATCAAACACAAACAAAATAAATCAACAATAAATAGTTCAATTTTATTATTACAACTCGAATAAATAGTTTATCTTGCAATAGAACAAATAGTTCAACAATACAATATCAAACGGACAAATCATGATGCTCTTTGTCGGCCATTCCATGCCGACCACTCCTTGATGAGATCCTTCTGAAGATCATCATGCGTTTCGGCACGTCGAATGGCATGATAGGAGGCAACAAAACGGGCCACCCTGGCAGCCCTCCGCCGCACTCGCACGAGATGTCTCAAGAGCTCGTACTGAGAGTAGTCTAAATCTTAGCCACCGACGATCATGTTGTGCATGATCACACAAGCATGCATGATGTACCAAAGCATCTTTTGATCTCAAAATCTAGCCGGTCCTCTCACAATAGCAAATTGGGCTTGCAAAATCCCAAAATCTCTCTCCATGTCTTTTCTAGCCGCCGTCCGAGCATTGTGGAAATCAAGATTTTTCTTACCTTCCGGTTTTTCAATGGCTTCACAAATGTTTGCCACTTTGAGTAGATGCCATCTGCAAGATAGTAGTCATAGTTGTATGTATGGTCATTTGCTACAAACTGCACTGGTGGCAGTTCACTATTTGCAATCTTATTCATCAGTGGTGACTGATTAACAAGGTTGATATCATTCAAAGATCCAGGCATTCCAAAAAAAACATGCCAAATCCGAGTCTCTTGATCGGCCACCACTTCAAGGATTATAGTGGAACTCTTTTTTGGCCATGGAATTGGCCATGCCATGCCTTAGGACAATTCTTCCAATTCTAATGCATGCAATCTATTGAGCCAAGCATACCTGGGAAGCCGCGAGCTTTGTTCATCTCCAATAGCCATGTGGCGTCTTCAGCATTGGAAGATCTCAAATACTCCTGGCCAAACACTTGCACAATTCTGACTGTGAAGCGCTTGACACACATGATGGCTTGACTCTCACCCATGGCCAAGTGGTCATCAACTAGATCAGCGGGAATACCGTATGCCAACATATGCAAAAGCGGCTGTCACCTTCTGAAAGGTGCTATGCCTAAGCTCTCCGGCAGCATTCCTCCTTTGCTTAAAAACGGTCATGGCTCGCTAGTTTCTCTGCAATGCGCCTGAATAACTCGGTGCTCATCCTAAACCGGTGCCAAAAGTACGACTCGGGGTACACGGGATTATCGGCAAAATAATGAAGGAAATATGCCCTAGAGGCAATAATAAAGTTGTTATTTATATTTCCTTATATCATGATAAATGTTTATTATTCATGCTAGAATTTTATTAACCGGAAACTTACTACATGTGTGAATATATAGACAAACAGAGCGTCACTAGTATGCCTCTACTTGACTAGCTCGTTGATCAAAGATGGTTGAGTTTCCTAACCATAGACATGAGTTGTCATTTGATTAACGGGATCACATCATTAGGAGAATGATGTGATTGACTTGACCCATTCCGTTAGCTTAGCACTCGATTGTTTAGTTTACTGCTATTGCTTTCTTCATGACTTATACATGTTCCTATGACTATGAGATTATGCAACTCCCGAATACCGGAGGAACACTTTGTGTGCTACCAAACGTCACAACATAACTGGGTGATTATAAAGGTGCTCTACAGGTGTCTCCGATGGTACTTGTTGAGTTGGCATAGATCAAGAATAGGATTTGTCACTCCGATTGTCGGAGAGGTATCTCTGGGCCCTCTTGGTAATGCACATCACTATAAGCTTTGCAAGCAATGCAACTAATGAGTTAGTTGCGGGATAGTGCATTACAGAACGAGTAAAGAGACTTTCCGGTAACAAGATTGAACTAGGTATTGGGATACCGACGATCGAATCTCGGGCAAGTAACATACCGATGACAAAGGGAACAACGTATGTTATTATGCGGTTTGACCGATAAAGTTCTTCGTAGAATATGTAGGAGCCAATATGAACATCCAGGTTCCGCTATTGGTTATTGACCGGAGACATGTCTCGGTCATGTCTACATAGTTCTCGAACTCATAGGGTCCGCACGCTTAAAGTTCTGTGACGATCAGTATTATGAGTTTATATGTTTTGATGTATCGAAGGTAGTTCGGAGTCCCGGATATAATCACGGACATGACGAGGAGTCTCGAAATGGTCAAGACATAAAGATTGATATATTGGAAACCTACATTCGGACATCGGAAGAGTTCCGGGTGAAATCAGGATTTTACCGGAGTGCTGGAGGGGTTACCGGAACCCCCCGGGGGCTAATGGGCCTTGTTGGGCCCTAGTGTAGAGAGAGAGGGGCCGGCCAGGGCAAGGCCACGCGCCCCCTCCGCCTCTGGTCCGAATTGGACTAGGAAGGGGGGGGGGCGCCCCCCTTTCCTTCTCCTTCTCCCCCTTCCTTTCCCCCTCCTAGTAGGAGTTACTCCTACTAGGAGGAGGACTCCTCCTCCTGGCGCGCCCTACAGGGCCGGCCGGCCTCCCCCCTTGCTCCTTTATATACAGGGGCAGGGGGCACCCTAGAACACACAAGTTGATCATTGATCTCTCCCAGCCGTGTGCGGTGCCCCCTCTCCACCATAATCCACCTCGGTCATACTGTAGCGGTGCTTAGGCGAAGCCCTGCGATGGTAGCTTCATCAACATCGTCACCATGCCATCGTTCTGACGAAACTCTCCCTCGAGCTCTACTGGATCGTGAGTTCGCGGGACGTCATCGAGTTGAACGTGTGCTGAACGCGGAGGTGCCGTACATTCGGTACCGAGGATCGGTCGATCGTGAAGACGTACGACTACATCAACCGCGTTGTCATAACGCTTCCGCTTAATAGTC